GATACCTACCTCCATCTATCATTCCTTAACCATTCATTCAAAAATTACTAGATAAATTAAAAAGATTACTACGTAAATAATTTGCAAGCTTTTGGTCTGTTTCTGAAGAGGGCGCGGAAGGCAAAGTTTGTTTGCTTTGCACTAATGACGTTCGTTCGTTCGTTCGTTCGTTGGCTTACAAATTATTTAACGTAAACATTGGTGCTAGCCGCTAACAAATATTTTTTTCTTACAATTAATGGGAAACAAAGAAAAGAAATTAAAATAAATGGTGATTGTTTAGTTTTTAGTTTAAGCAGTTTAATAATTGTCTTATACCTTTTAATTGTTTTCGGTAGAGTTCTTGGCCGTGAAAGCTGATATCGTTGATTCTTTATTTTAGGTTATGTTGATCTATCTAGGGCTTATGTGTGAGCGGCCTCCTTGGATGGGATACAAGTTACGAACGTTGCCAGGAGCTGCTACGTCACTCATCGGTTGCCATGGTTCTTATTTTCTTAGACTTACATACACAGGTATTTTTTTCTTATTTTTCGATTTAAAACTCGCGTTTCACTTTGTTTAGATTAAATTTTATTTCAGACATCTAATTACAGCTTATTCTTACTTTTAAGGTTGATTCTGTGTGTATATTTGTTGAAATAGATAAAAAAAATTCAAAATGTTTCAGGACAAGTAAAAAGAAACGTAGTTTCCCTTTGGAAATTCAATTCAACCTACTTTTTGTTTTTTCAACAAACCCCTTGGTAACCAAAATTAGATTCAAATCCTTCATCAAGTTATCTATTGAAGAAATTTTGGCCAATAGGAGACTTAAATAAATCACAAGTTGGTGAATTTTAGGTGAGTATATTTAGAATATGTTTTCAAATATTTCGAGAATCAAATGTAAATAATTTCTTACAATTTTTTAATAGATTAGTTGCCAATTTTTTATTAATCTTGAATTTTATTGTATAACTTTTTTGTGTTGGCACACATGTCAAAAATTATTAATTATGGCTGACAGAAGTGTTTCCTGTTTGATATACAGGGTGTTTTTTATATAAGGGTAAAAATTAAAAATGCCTCAAAACATTCTGTTATTTTCGATGGTAGATTTGTAACTTTGATCATCCCTAAAACTTATTGAATCTTTATTTTAAACCAGGAAAGTTTAACGAATTTATAATTTCCCCCGTTACAATATATCTCCTTCAGTTTACTCTCATAAAAATAAAAATTACATCCTCATATTTTCAATATTCCCAATCATCCACAAGTCGTTGTTTTAAAGAAGTAACGACTCCTTTAAACAACGCTAATGTATTTAACAGGTTTGTTAAGTTTCCGTCAACTTTAGAAGAAATAAATGGGATAACTAGATTTTTCGAAAAATATAACTTTCCGGGAATAATTGGCATTATTGATTGCACCCGTGTGCCAATAGTAACACCTTCAGGTAAAATATTCGTTGTTTTTAACCATGTATGTAGGTTTTATTGCTAGATATTAATTTCTTTTTAGAAATGATGAAAAACATCCAGAACATCTATATGTCAATAGAAAATCTTATCATTCTCTGAATGTGCAACTGGTAAGTTAATTGCTTGCAGTAACACAAAATTTTATATATAGAATTTAATTTCAGATTTGTGATGAAACACTAAAAATCATCAATGTAAACGCTTCATTTCCTGGAAGTACATATGACGCATTTATATGGAATGCTTCAGCAGTTTCTAGGGCAGTGGCAAATCTTTATCGAGCAGGTCATGAAGGATATTACTTGCTAGGCGAGTCAAGTTATCTCTTGAGACCATGGCCAATGACATAAATAGAGGAAAACCCACATGAGGGCACACCAGAAGATTTAGAACAATACGATCAAGCATCGAAAGGTGTAATGGGGCATTAAAACAAGGTTTAGGTGTTTTCTTAAGTCAGGGTATTAAATTATACTCCAGGTATTGCATTGACGATAATATTTAGAAGTACCTGAAGCTGATTTACTAGAGCACCCAGATTTTGGACAGTACCCAGTTCAACCCCCAAATATTATGGACAGAGTTGCCATAAGAATAAATCCTGATTTAGTAGCAGGTCGTAGATTAAGAACCAGAATTATCAGAAATTTAAAATAAAATTAATACTTCTTAATAAACATAATAGTTCACAAGTTTATGTCTATTTATTTCACAAAACACTGACATAAATGTATTTATTCTTACTTTTTCATCGCCATGCATAACACTAGAACCTTTAAAAATTTAAACTGCTTTTAATTTTCCTTGAAGAATAAAATAAGAATGTGATATTTTATTCGACATATATATTAAATAAAACAAAATAATTTCTTAATAAAAAAGAAAAGAAAATTCATAATTGCAATTTCACTAGCTTTTGATTTTTTTATGTATTTCTGTTTCTTGGGATTTAAAAGTTGCGGTTGAAGTCACAGATTTTTTTTGACTTAAGTGTGATAATGACGAACATAGTGAAGACTCTTACGACATACATAAAACGTTTGATGTTGTATTTTCATTACTCATTATTTCAATAGCATAACTGCTTTCATTTGATTGGTCAAAGTCTCCCTCAGATTCTCCATAAATGACCTCAACATTAGGATCAATTAATATGTTATATGTGAAAATAGTGGCCTTCCTCCCAATGAACTTTCCACACGCGAGTTATAGAATTGGATCAACCCTGGCTTCGCCAACGCAATGGTGGATACTGCACAATCAGCGGAAGCTTTATCTAAGTATAAAAGGCATAATTGTTACCGACATATTCAGATTTGATTTAGAATTCATTCAGAACTCAATAATTTTTAAAATAATTAATGTCGGCTAAATCTCCTTTGTATTTCGAAAAGTATTTCGCACGAGTCCAACATTTATTTGGCGCAGTCAGAACGGAAGTTATAACGGGTAGGACTTTAGTTTCTCAGTTCGTTTCAACGATTTATATAACAAAAGAAATTTTCGGACTTAAACGCGAAAACTAGTAAAACCCACCATTTTGAAGTACATCATATCCGTGGACAAGCATCGCCACAACCACTGGGACAAGCATCGCCCAATCATCGTAGACAAGCATCGCTACAACTCCTGGGACAAGCATCGCCCAACATTCTAGGAGGATACACATCGCCGAGTAGAATTACCAAACGATTAATGTAAGCTAGTATCATATTCCATTATTTTTCCTTACTTGAAAAATCCTTATTCGTATAATAGAGGAAGATATTTTAACCTTTATTTTTTAAATTAAAAAGAATAATTTTGAAAAAAAATATATATAAGAAATAGGTATTTTATTTTTGCAAAGAACGCAATAGAATAAATAATAATTTTTTTTATGAGTGACTGAAATTAATGAAATAGTAAATATATTTAATAGAGCAGTGTCAATAATTAGTGACAGCGATAGTATTATAAGCGAAAATAGCAATATAGATTTAAATTTAGAAATTGATTTTGAAGACAATATGCAACCCGCACAAAATATTCAATTAATAAAATTATACATAGATGCAATTCCGTACTATGACGGGAATCCACATACCCTTAATATATTTATAGACTCTTGCGATAATTTGAGACTCACGCCGCTCAAAGTGATGAGGTAAACATTCAATAGATTTTTAATGAGAGCGATAATAGGAAAATTAACAGGTAGAGCATTAGCTTTAATAGGTAGTAGAATTGAACTTAGAAACTAGAATGAAATTAAGGACGCTTTAAGATTCAGTTTTGGAGACCAGCGAAATATTGACAGTCTCGTACAGGATTTAATCTCACTGTAACCCCTTAAAAATGAAGTTTCTTATAGTTTTGGCATGAGACGTCAGGATGTAAAAAGCTTGATTACTTCCAAATTAAATACTCTGCTAATGAAAAAATAATAAAAATGCAAAATTATGACGATCTATCATTGAAAACTTTTATCAAGGGATAACCTGGCCCATTACAAACTAATATTAAACTAAGAAACCCAGATAGTTTAGAAAGAGCAATGTCGCTCGTAATTGAAAAAGAAAACTTTTTATATTAAATATATTAAATTAAATACTCAACCCCCAAGACAATTTCAAAGAATAATTCCTAACCAACCAGCAAGAAATCTGAATAGTAATAAAAATAATAATTATAGAAATAACCAATCTTACTCAAGATTTAATAACTATCCTAGTCAACCTAATTATTATGTTATGAACCAACAGTACAGAATGCCAAATTCTTAATTTTTACAAAATCCAAATTTCCAATACCCTAATTTTCAAAATCAAAATGCATTTCGACTGCAATTTCAAAATCAAAACTCATTTAGACCACAATTTTCTAACCAAAATGCATATAGGCAACAATTCGCCAATCTAAATGTATTTAAACCCCACTCGCAACACAAATCAGTCAATCAAAACCAGAACCAATGAACACTTTGTCTGGAAACACAGTATTAAATAATAGACCCAAGTGGACATCGAATCAATTACATAATTTAAACACGATTTATGAAAATGCTAATGAAAATGAAAACTACCCAGAAATTGAAGATTATAATAATTATTATACTGCTAATAACTATAATAATTATACACACAAAAATTAATATGAAAATTTAACAACTGAAAATCCTTTTCTAGAACCAGACCCATCAAAAGAGCCAACGTAATAAAACTTAATTTAGTATCAAATGATTTACCATGGATAGAAATACCAGAAATAAAATCAAAATTTTTAATAGATACAGGTAGTTCTAGAAGTTTAATTAACCTTAATTTAGATATACATAGGCCGCGTTGTACGACAAGTTGGTTATCTCGAGTTCAGGTGATCTATAGATCAAAACTGATCCTCGATCATTTGTACGAACCTTGCTGAATTCTTTTGTTACTACTAACGTTGATCTATGGTCAAGTCAAAAATAGTTCAAAAGTATTAAAAGCTGTCAATTGCGCATCGTGGTTAGTTTGATATTTGTATTTGTGAGTTAGTTAAAAAAAATTTTAAATGGACAAAAAATTAAAGAGATCTCATAATTTTACTGCTTATGAGGTAGCTTTATTAATAGCACTTGTAAAGGAGCGGACAAGTGAAATTGAATGCCGTAAATCCGACACGGATACCAATAAAATTAAGAACGAGGCACGGGCACATGTATGCCAAAAATTTAATTCCCATTTAAAACAGAGCATCTGCAGGGACGTAGATGTTCTGAAAAATAAATACAACAATGAGAAAAAGAAGTATGCTGATGAAAAGAGGCATTTGTATGGTACGGGAGGAGGTCCACCTGAAATAATTCCGGAATCTACCATAGATAAAGATATTGCCGAGATAATAGGCACCCAAATGACAGGCCTTCCCTCAGAATAGATGATTTCAACAGAAGACATCTTGAAGTTGCAAGGTCATTGGAAGGTTTTTGAGCCATATATGAGTTTACTTAACAACTAATAAAATAAAAAAGAAAACTAAATTATTATTTTGGCAATCTGTTTAAGGTAACGGCGTCGATATACATTTTTTTCTTTGTCTTCTTCATTAGTTGTATGTGCTCAGTTTTTCACCATCTCTATCTACTTAGTGCCCTATCCCAGATTTTTCTTTTTCTTAGTCATGTGTCATGTCAAAATTTGTAAAAACATAAAACAAATTGAAGTTACAATCTCTGGTTTTGTTTTTGAATTATTTTTTGCATTTATTTTTAAAATACTAGCTAAGAAACACAAAGAAAATGATTAAAAGTAAAGTTAAAGGTAGGTGTGCACCTTTTGTTTACTACTTTAAATTTCAAAGTGAATATATGTATTTATCATTGTTTTTATGTATTATTATATTCTGTTGATACATACATAAATATTTACATGCATGCGTATCAGATAATGTTTGTAACAAGTTTGGAACTCGCTTCAGAACAAACCTATTACTCGAAGTATTTTTTATATCTTCATTGTCAACAAAAATACTGAAAAAATTCAAACCGTTTTGTTGGGTTATGCAGCGGCCACCCATTAAAAAAGGTTTTAATTTAACAAAAATCAGCCATAGAGACCTAACGCGCGCTTAGCAAGCCATGTAGATCTAGATTTCAGATCTTGGCAAGGCAATAGTGAGAGTGAAAACTGAGCCCATACAACTAAAGAAGAAGGCAAGAAAAAAGAAATTTATGCGGACGCCGCCGTAACTTTAAACAGATTGCCAAAATAATAATTTACAGTTTTCTTTTTTATTTTATTAGTTGTTATGTAAACTTATAGATGGCGTAAAGATCCTCCAATGACCTTGCAAATTCAAGATGTCTTCCGTTGAAATCATCTATACGATTTTTATGGGTAAGTATTTTTTTTATTAACACGTTCGCGACATCAATTGATCCAAAGGGGGACTTGTGTGGCCGTTTTTTTACTTTGTGTGTTAATGATGTATTTGTGTATTTTGAACAAGAATAAAACCTATTTTATGTGAAACTTTGTTTTTTTTTTTTTTTTTTCATTTTTTGACTATTTTCCATGGTGTCCCACCGGTGGGTCACGATGTCCCTAAGAAATAATTATCCCTTACAACCGGTGGGTCACACAGGGATAATGTGTAAGGTAGCTAAATGGTTGTTTTTGTTTCAGGTAAATGAAAAATGAGTGCAAGAGCTCGAAAAATCGTATCGATGGCGACTGAGGAGGTGCCCCAGCAGCCAACATCGTGTGTGAATCCAGGTCCATCTTCATCTGCCCTCCCTCAAACAGTGCAAGAAACCCAACAAAAATCGCCTTCGCAGGAACGACAACCGTCGCCCCGAAATTCGCCGTCACCTCTACAATCAACTACCCCAAGTCAACGAAGAAATACGTACTTCAGAATCTGAACCATATGAGAGTTCTAAAGATTCGTACATACCTTCAGCTGACGAGGTCGAAACTCCCAACGCGTCGTCAGCAACTGAAGATTCAAGCGGTGATGACATTCGTCAAGGTTCTTCATTGGACGACGGCAACTTAGCGGGAACTACAAATTTGGAAGAGTGGGGACCTTGCACGGACCTGCCCGTCAATTTTCAATTTTCTGGACAAAGTGGTCTGAAAATAGATACTTTGGATTTGACTCAGCCCTTAGAAATCTACAGACAGTTTGTAACAGATGAAGTTCTTGACCTTATGGTTTTGGAAACTAACAGATTTGCATCCCAACTAAAGTCCAAACCACTTCGCCCTCGATCTCTATTGCACAAATGGGTAGACACCAACAGAGAGATGAAAAAGTTCTTAGCTGTTTTACTGATTATGGGCATCAATAGACTCCCTAAAATGCGTTTATATTGGTCAAACAATGAAATGTACAGCAACGAACTGCAACCGATTTGACATGTTGTTGAGGTGTTTGCATTTTTCTGACAACAGTGATCCTGCAGCCAATGCCGACAGACTCTCCAAAATAAAAACTGTTGTTGAGCTAATTTGCAACCAATTTCAAGTGACACTTGCATCAAACAAAGAAGTCGTGATTGATGAGAGTATGGTGCCTTGGAGAGGCAGATTAGTGTTCCGTCAATATCTTCCTGCGAAGTCACACAAATACGGTGTGAAACTGTATAAAATATTTACAACAGAAGGGTACACCTATGACTTACGAATATACGCCGGAAAAAGCGGACCGACTGGAGATGCAGCGCAAACAGAAAAGGGACACACATATAACATCTGCATGGAGATGCTAAAATATCTGAAAAATGACGGACAAATTTTGAACATTGACAATTTCTACACGAGTGTGGCACTATGTCAAGAACTTTTGAAATCTCGAACATATGTGTGTGGAACTCTACAAAGTAATAGAAAGAGAAATCCAAAAAATGTGTGCACGAAGAAACTGAAAAAAGGAGAGGTTTACGGCGAACAGAATCGAGATGGAGTTCGTGTAATGAAGTGGGTAGATAAACGCCCAGTATTGATGATTAGTACCGTTTCGACTCATACAGCTCGTCTGGTACCAACGGGAAAGAAAACCGAACGGGGGATGATATTATCAAACCACCTGCTATTATTGCCTACAACAAAGCAAAAAAGGCGTTGATGTCTCGGACCAGATGTCCTCTTACTACACATGCCTGAGAAAAAGTATCAAGTGGTATAAAAAAGTTATATTTGAGATCCTGCTCGGAACATGTATTGTCAATGCTTGGGTATTGCACAATAATTTCAACAAAGGTGGAAAGAAAATGGACATGCTCTTAAAGTTAGCCAAACATAAAATAGTAAGTATTCACAGGCCATACAAAAAACTACTGTTTCTAGTTTAATTTTAAATGTGTACTTTATTAAATATATGTATTTTAATCATTTGCAGCTCCTAAACAGAACAATTTACGTTCTAATTTAGGCCGTTGGGCTAGTTCGAAGCAAGCATTGGCTGCATTGCAAATAGAGTGTTTTAAAAAAGAACATGATTTAAAGTTAAAACATGCTCAAGAAAAACTTGACGAATTCATAAGGCTTCAGAGATTGGAATTTGAAGCCAGGATTCGCTTGATAACAAATGGTAACCTGCCCAATGACATCCAAACCAAAATTAACTGCAGTAAACCTTAATATTTTTATTAATTTTTAGAAATGTATATATTTTATATTACAAATTTTTAATAAATAAAACAAGTTTTGTGTAACATTTTTTTATTCCTATTTGCATATTATAAGAGATTCACAAAATAATTGTTAATCAAGCCTTGCCTAGTTACATCATTTACATTGTTAACTACATTATTTTGATCATTTATATTTAAATTATCTAAAATATCTATTGCTGCATCAATTTCTTCATTAATTTCAGGTATTACATATCTCATTTGACATGCAATGTTATGTAAAACTGCAGTGGCGACAATTAATTTTTGCGTTTTTCTCAAGTGGTTTCTTATACCCAAAGCTAAAACAGGGAACCTTCTTTTCCAAATTCCGAACGTTTCGTGTCCAGATTTGGGACTCGTTATATAGGTTTTCTGCAGCTGTTTGTGGGTTGGATAAAGATGTGGGAAGGTAATTTTTTATTTCATAACCGGCATCTCCAACAATGACACTGTCTCTGCCAAACTCTTGATTTTCTAAGCTAAATCGCAATCTTGAATTTGCGAAAATTGTAGCATCATGTGCAGAACCTTGCCATCGAGCAACTATGTTACTTATGGAGCTTCGAAATATATACTTTTTCTTCATTTTTACAGATATCTGCAGACATAATAGACCCGTCTGGTCAGGTAAATTAAAAACAAATAGTTACCTATGTACTGCTGAGTGGTTACTTTATAAAGATACATATTCATTAACTTTGTCTCTAATTATTTATATATTTCATAAATATACAGGGTGTTTCAAAACGATTGATCATAAATTATACCACACATTCTTGGGTCAAAAATAGGTCGATTAAACCGTACTTACCTAAGAAGAGGCAATATTTTTTTCTTGATTTTTATAGGTTTTTGGAGAGGGTCACCGCACTTTTCTCCACTCAACTTTTTTGTAGTATAAAATTTAATTACAAATGAAACGCCACTGGAATGCAACATCCATTTGAAAACTTTTTTGTCTCTTAGTATTTGTTTGTAAAAAGTTTAGTTTAGACGATACAGCCATTTGAAATGGCAACTTAAAAATATTCAATGGAAATTCTACATATGAAAAATATCAAAATCAAGTTTATTTTTAAATTACAAACTAATGTCATCAAAATAAAAAATAATAATTTATCAGGTGTTCAAAATTACATTCTCCTCCTGTGTACACTTACTACATGGTTTTAACAATGAAAATCGAAATTTGATATTTTTGCATACATATAATTTACATTGAATATTTTTAAGATGTCATTTTAAGTGGCTGTATCGTCTAAACCAAACATTTTACAAACAAATACTAAGAGACAAAAAAGTTTCCAAATAAATGTTGCATTTCAGTAGCGTTCGAGTTTTAATAAAATTTTATATTACAAAAAAGTTGAGTAAAGAAAGGGGCGGTGACACCCACCAAAATCCGACAAAAATAATAAAATACATATCGTCGTTGATACTGCAATAGGGCCTATGTAAAAAAAAATGCAATTTGGGGTTAAGATGCCAAAGTATCCAATAAAAGCCAGACTATTACTCTGCAAAACATCGTATGTAAATACCCAATAGAAATTCCAGTTTCTTCGTCGTAGCAAGGTGGCCTATGTTATACGGGTTTTACATTGGCTACCCCAAACAAGCGTATGTGAACATATTTGATAGGTTGGTAACACGTAAGTCGTATACTGGTTATTTCAATTAGCCGTATGTGAAGTGCGATGTGTTTTTATGCTGAAATTAGTTGGAAAATGTGCTGATTTGTTTGTTACTATCACATAGAATTGGTAAGTTAAAAATAATTTATAGTTATTAACGTAAAAAATGGTCAATATCAAAACATTTACATGATTTACCTTCTCAAACATGTGTTTGTAAATTTTCTAACCTATAAATAGTTTTATTTTCTTGAAGGACTTATTCTTACCGGCATTACGATGCAATTCTAGTAGGCATGGATAGAATTAGCACTCTAATGCTTCACTTTAATGTTTTTTTTTTTTTCAATAAAGTTGAACTGTCACCTCCTGTTTATCGAAATAACAATCACATACGACATATTGCGGTTCTTATTTAATAAAATAATAACTACATACGACATATTGCAGCGTAAAGTTTAATTTTATTTTTCTTCTGTCAGCACAAAAAATGAGTAGCAGAGGTAGGCAGATGGTAGAGATGGTACTTGACCAGGCTTCTTCAACATCAATTCATGTGATCGCCAGAGATAGAGATGTTTATGACATTGCGAAAAACAATGTTAATGGTATGGAGTTAGAAAATGGTATTCATGTGGAATATCAGTCGGTCGATGCTTTGGAGAAAGTCGAACATGAATCAGTAGAAATGACTGAAAACGTATACGAAGATGACGAACCATTTCAGGATTCTGGTTCTGAATACATTCCATCTGAAGAAGAGAATAATAGTCGGAATAATATGTCAATAGTTGAAACTTCTGATGAAGAAGGTCATAATCAGCAACTAGTAGATGAAGAGCACGGACTTGTTGAGGGAAGAAAAAGATCTAGAAAGAGCAAAGGGCAGGGAGATCCTGCTAATTGGAAGCGAGCCAAAAATTCTAGTGCCCGACTAAAGGGTGATGCTTACATTGGATTCAAGAGAGATGCATCTGGAAAATACAAACAAATAGTAGAAAAAGAAAAACGTAAACTCGGACAAAGATGTGATGGTCACACAAGAACTGCTTCAAGAGGACCAAGACAAAAATTTGAATGCACAGCCCTATCTGAGGAAGAACGGAAATCAATTTTCAATCACTTTTGGTCCTTGAATTCATGGGAAGCTAAAAAAGTTCTTGTATCAACTCTTGTATCATACACCAAACCAAAATGTAGACGTAAATCAACTTTACCTGAAGAATCACGTAAGCAGATAGGTTTCCAATATCATCTTATTACGGTGGGCGAAACGGAAAAGCTTAAGCGACTGGTCTGCAAAAAAATGTTTTTGGAAACTTTAGGAATTAAAGAAAAAACTGTTAGACTTTGGAGGCTTGAGAATGGTAGCTGCAGTACAAAAGAGCAGAATAAAGAAGCCCCACCTCCAATGCAAGAATGCTCAAAAAACGTTCGCGAGTTTCTAGACAGTTTACCAAGGGTTGAGTCGCATTATTGCAGAGCCTCTTCCAAGAAACTTTATTTGGAACCAATATGGAACAGTTACGGACATCTATATCGGGAGTTTCTTCATAACTGTGAAGTCAACCAAAAACGATCGTGTTCTTGGAGAACATTTTTAAAAACATTTAGGTCTATGAACTTGGAAATACACACACCTAAAAAGGATCAGTGTAATTCTTGTTTAATGTACAAAAATGGAAATCTGCCAACGTCAGTATACGAAAAGCACATTAAGAGAAAAGACGAAGCTCGTAAAGAAAAAACTAAAGACAAACAAAGTGCAGCTGAAGAAAACACATGCGTTTACACTGTTGATCTTCAAGCTGTTTTAGTATGTCCACGCTTATTGGCATGGGCTATTTATTACAAGACGAAATTGAAAGTGCACAATCTAACTTTCTATAATATGAAGAATAAAGACGTTACTTGCTATCTATGGCACGAATCTAGCGGTGGCTTAGAAAGCGATGTATTTACATCTATTATGGTAAAGTTTCTCAAAAATGAAATACAAACGCACCAGCCTTCCCGTGTTGTTTTATGGAGTGATGGTTGCTGCTATCAAAATAGAAATACTAAGTTATCTAATGGTTTTCTGGAATTAGCTACTGCAGAAAATGTTACCATAGAGCAAAAATATTTAGAAGTCGGCCACACGCAGATGGAGGTTGACTCCATTCACAGTGCCATAGAGAGGAAACTACGCAAAGGGCGAGAAATTTGTGTCCTAGCTGACTACGTTCACATTATAAAGTCGGCCAGACAGAATCCCTCTCCTTATAAAGTGATTCAGCTTACATACCGTGATTTTGATAAGCGTCCTGAAGGACTTTATACAAGTTTACGCCCAGGATCTAAGAAAGGTGATCCGTGTGTTACAGACATTTGTGCTTTACAACATAAATCTGAGGGTATAATAAATTATAAATTGAATTTCGATGAAACCTGGCAAGAAATTCCTAGGCGGCCAAAAAAAAACTCATCAAAGTCTGTACCACCTTATTCTCCTTTGTATAATGCACCGTGTCCTATTGAGTTGACTAAATTTATTCACCTCCAAGAGTTAAAATCTCTAATTTCAGATGACTACCATGAATTTTACAACAAGCTTAGTCATAACTGTGGATCTGACGAGTGCACTCATATTCGTGCTATAGCTAAGCCTAAACAAGGTCCCTCTGTCATAGGGAATCAATCTGAAGATGGTGAAAGCTGTTCTCTATAATTATTTTGCCTTGTATAATTTCAAAGTCTAAGTTCCGTTAACTTCTAATGAGTAACTTTATATCAATGCTCTAGTTTAAACAATGTTAAGTTTTTCTAAATAATTTTAAGCATTTAGGTCAAGTTTAAGTTCTTTTAAGTAGCGCTTATCTATTTTACAATGTGTCAGCAATATGTCGTATGTGTCATAAGTAACCAATTTTGAATTGTAAAATGTCTTATGTGAATTTTTTTCCAAAAAGGTAATATTTAGATTAAATCAAAGTATCTCATTTTAAACTAAACCTAATCCATCAATTTTTAACACAATTTTGAATCATTTCCATCAATATTGCTCCCACACAGTGGTTTTTTCCCTTTCCTGAAAATTCAACATTTTTGACATAGGTCCTATTGCAGTATCAACGACGATATTGCCTCTACCTCGATTTTGTTAGTCATGGTATTCCAACACGTCTTATAAAATTTCATGAAAAAATGTCGAACGGTTTAAGAGCAACGTTAAAAAAATTCATTTAAATTTTTATCTTATAACTATTTTTGGGTTCACTTTTGTATATAGGTAAGTACGGTTTAATCGACCTATTTTTGACCCAAGAATACGTGGTATAAGTTATGACCA